GAACCCCAAGAATTTCCAGGGTTTTGGTTCCCATGGTAACACCTGACCCTCTCACTCCCATCAGTTTCTTACACGAGCCCCCGTACCTACAATCCCTGGAAGGATCCCGTCAATCCTAATACCCCTGGGATTCTATTGGGGTTATATTAGCGATTATATTGGGGTTATATTAGGGATTATATTAGGGATTATATTAGGGATTATAATGGGGTTATACTAGGGATTGTATTAGGGATTATATTGGGGTTATATTAGGGATTATATCAGGGATTATATTGGGGTTATATTAGGGATTATATTAGGCTACACCCAACACCCCGCATCCTACAACCTAAACCCCTACACTCCGAATTCTTCGAAACAACCACGGAACGTTGCACAAAACCCTAGATATCCTTGTATATCATTACATACACCCATCAAAGGAGCCTTTCATCCTAGGAAACCTCTAAAACCTGAACGCAAAATTCCTGCCTGGGAGAGGGAGCTGGAAGCGCTAGGGGCTCCCAGTGCTAACCCTGACGTGTTAGGGTTAACGGTTGAGGCGCCCGTTTGTGGGTAGAGAAGGCGGAACCAAACCGGTTTAAGCTTTCGGGGTTTCGAGGTCTGGGGCTTAGGAGTTTGGGCTTGCTGGGATGTAAGTGAAATAGCGACTGCTAGGTCAGAAAGACAGCCAGGATACAAAATGTGTTCAAGGAAAACTATCAGTTGAGGTCTGTTTGAAGTACCACGTACTACAATTATACTGGGAATCTCGGACCGCAAGACTGGCAATAGTCAGCTCCTACAGTACTTGCAGATTCTCTAAGTCAGCACCCTCAGCCAGACGCGCATCACGCTTCCCGTACTGCCTTTATAGAACGTTATGGTTTACAGCTCTTCAAGCTTCTACACCGAACCCAACCAAGCCCCAAACCCTCAAACCCCTAAACCCTGAACTCCAAACCCTGCCCGGACCCTCCCCCAAATGTATGTGGAACAATCGCATTTTCTTGCTTATTCAAGAAGCTATAGGCCATTACTTTACCTACTCTTGCAGGCCAGGTAACCCTCCAAAGCTGTTAAAACTTTGACGCGGCCCTGGACCACCTCAAATAAGCCATAGATTGTGAACGACTCCCAGTATCCCCTTAATAACCCCATAATAGTCCCAATGTCATGCCCTCTATAACATTTCAGGAGTTTAGACCCTACACCCTATGACCCGCTTCAAGGAGTTTAGACCCTAAACCCTAATCCCTTTATAACCCCCTTTAAGGAGTTTGGACCCTGGACCCTGAACCTTTATAACCCCCTTCAATAGGAGTTTTTCACTACATATGGCTCAAAGAACCTGAAAATGATATCTGCTTATAGCCCCCCTTAAGTAGATAAAATATGGTGTATATGGGGATCTTATTTTCACATACCCAAAGCGATATATCCCTAAACCCTAAACCCTATAGTCTATCTACTTAAGGGGGACTATAGGCCCCGAGCATCCCGAGAACCCCCATGCAGACGCAGTTTCTATTGAAATAGGGTTTAGAGTTTAGGTTTTTAGGGTTTAGGGTTTAAGGTTTAGGTTTTTAGGGTTTAGGGTTTAAACTCCTTAAAGGAGAGTTATATAGGGGATTATGTGGGGGACTACTGTAGGGATTCTGGAGGGGCATACTAGGAGTTTAGACTACAGCTCATTTGATGTTGCGTTCTTTGGGGCAATATAAACCCTACGTAAAGTAGAT